CTTCATTTTTGTACAAAAAAAAAACGTGTAGCTTTCTTTTCACTATAAAAAAATAACCAATTATATCGACCGATATTCTTCAATGAATATGTCGCATGCGTAGTTTTACTCATTTATAAGGATAAGTTAACTTTCAATCAAATACAGAATTCAAATTAGTAGAACTTTTGTAGGAGTTTACAGAAAAAGACCTAAGATAAATCTAGGAGTGCTGATTCCGATCTTTGATACAAAAAAAAAAAAAAAAAAGGAAAGTTTTTCTTTCAATCGAATGAAGTCATGTTGGAAAAATTGTTAGAATCAACATTTCAGCTAGCTTACATCCAGTATAAAAAAGATCATTGAGTTCGGAATTTTATATCACAAGACTTAGTAAGAACTTTTACACTGATCAAAATTCTTTATGATCTATGCTATAGTCAATTTGACGAACTTTTTTTTTTTTATCTAAGTAATATCTTCATTAAATAATTTTTTTTTTTAGTTCTAATTAGAACAATATCGAATATCCGAAAGCTACAATAGACATTCATTCAAAAACTAAAATGTCAAGTAATACTACATCATCATCATCATCAATATCTGGTCGTACAGATAAAGTAGTTCCAGGTGATGAAATGAAAATTATATTTAATTGATAAATTATTTTAATTTTTTTTATTAAATAGTTTTTCCTTGGTTTGGTATGGATATTGGTGGAACATTAGTTAAACTTGTTTATTTTGAACCACTTGATTTAACAGCTGATGAAATTCGAACTGAAGGTGAAATTTTAATGAATATTCGTCATTATTTAACATCTAATCGTGCTTATGGACAAGAAGGTGTACGTGATGATGCACTTGAATTAAATAATATACAATTAGGTGGTCGTCAAGGAAATCTTCATTTTATTCGTTTTCCAACATCAAAAATGCCGAATTTTATCGATTTATGTGCTATGAGACATTTACATACATTAACATTTGAAATATTTGCAACAGGTGGTGGTGCTTATAAATTTGAAAAAGATGTTCTTGAAGTAAATTTTAGTTTACATTTTATAGAAGAAAACAAATTTTTTTGTTTTACTTCATTCTAGAAATTAAAAATAAGTTGGTGTAAATGTGATGAACTTGATACATTAATAAACGGTTTAAGTTATTTAAGTAAACTTAATCCAAAAGAATGTTTCTATTATGAAGAACCACAAAATGATGCTAATCCAAATAAACATCCATTTACATTTGATATAAAACGTCCATTTCTATTAGTTAATATTGGTAGTGGTATTAGTATTTTACATGTCGAATCGGAAACAAATTATCGACGTATAACTGGTACAAGGTTAGTCACAAGAATGATTTTCAATTGATTTTTATGTAATTTTTTTTTTATCTATTTTATATTATAGTATAGGTGGTGGTACATTTTTAGGTTTATGTTGTTTATTAACAGGATGTTCAAGTTATGATGAAGCTATTAAATTAGCTAGTGAAGGAGATAGTACAAAAGTAAATTTGAATTATTTAAATAATATTTCTCTTATTGATTTATTAAATAGGTTGATAAATTAGTTAGAGATATATATGGTGGTGATTATGAGAGATTCGGTTTGCCTGGTCATATTGTAGCTAGCAGGTAAAATTAAAAAGAAAATATGAGTATGTAGAACATACGGAAAAAATAGGGATGGAAGTATTTTAATTCCTTAAAAAAAATGTTTAAGTACGTTCTCTCTATATAGTCTTATAGTAAAAATAATGCATTACATTTCTGTTATATTTGATCATTCTTCAATTAATATTATACTAATAAAATTTTAATAAGAGCTATTTTTTATGATATGTTGTAACGGTAATATTAGATTACGTGTTGTCTCCAATGTGTATACTATTCTTTATTTCGCTTTCTCTAATGTTTAAACGTCTATACACATTAGGATGTAGAACAAGTTGTGCCGATAGAGCAAAAAAAAGAAACAAGTTCACCAAGTCTTTACTTCATTAAATGTTCGAACTAGTCTTGTTTTGATTATTTATATATTTAATTGCATTAGTTGAATTCATTTATCCAACATTTTTCTATAGTCAACGAATCCATCAGTTTATTTACAGTACGATATAACAATCTGGAATCATTCGAATAAATAAAAATCATATAGTACAAGATTGGAAGAATTATTCAAGTAAAAACTTGATAAATTTATTTCTTATTTTGTATATTCTAATATGTATAGACGGGTAGACATTAGAAGCAGCAAGAAAAAAGAAGAACATGAAGAATAGAATACATAGTGAAGGCAAAATGTGATCTAATATATAACCGTCACATATCATAAATAGATCTTATCGAGATTTTATTATTATAATATTAGTTGAACAATGATTAGATATCAGAAAAATTTAAAGTAATGTTTTTACTATCAGACTATGAAAAGAAAAAGAATTTTTCTTTAAGCTTTTTTTATAAGGAATTAATGTATTTTTGTCACTACTTTTGCTATGTCCTAAATAGAAATTCACAATTAATTACCTATATAAAATAGACTGATGATGCTATTTAGAAAAACTACCTAATTTTGTTGGGTTTATATATATACTTGTTTCAAATAAAATAGTGCTTGAATATGATATACACGTAAGTCCTAACGAAAAAATTGACGTGAAGAAAAATAATATGATATTGTAGTGAACATTTTTTTTGTGTTTACTGCATTCTTCTATTGTATGATAACATTGATTGGTTTGTAGTTGTAACTAAAATTGTTCGAGTGTGTAATACACGGTGTTTCAGTCTATCGTTCTAATCATGATATAAAACATGGTCTAATAGATCGATAAATTTTGCCGTATGAGTAGGTATAATTGTGACTTTTACTAATATCTTGTGTCCTACATTATGAAATACTTCTTTAATATTTGATATATTTTGAATCTTTTATTCTGTCTAATACTAAATCTATACAATAAGAATTAAGCATGCTACATGTAGTTCATTACAATTTGTATTTCACTAGACGATTTCAATCGACGAAAGTAAGAAACTGCTAGATAATCATATGATTATACTACGCTTTGAAGTGTAGTTTTTCTATAGTGATTTGATGATTCATCTAGCTTAATCTTTTTGCTAAAGCTGCCGT